CTAAAAGCCCCCCCCCCCTAAAATTTTGGCTGGATCCGCCTTTGCTGAAAAAGTCTCTATTTGAGTCTCGATGTCACTAGGGCATAGTTTACTCAAAAATTGAGTGAAGTTTAGGATGCGTTGCGTTTTGATGAGTGAAACCAGAGAACCAGGCGAAAATGAGATGAATGTCGAGTACTGGAATCGGACTGAAGACCCCAGAGAGGCGATCGCACTACCGCTAAGCCATTCACCGTTCACTTCATGATCACTAATACAGAGGTGGAGAAGAATAAGATAAGCAAGCAGCGTTAGTTGGTTTGATCAGGATAAGAATACCGACGTTAACTATAGGAATAAACCTTGAAAGTCAAACATATCTTGGATAATATTTACTAGATAATAGTAATGATTAATTAATTAATATATGATATTATAAATCTTTGCCATGCAAAGTTCTCTTAACTCTATAGTCTAGTTTTAATAGTCATAGATACATACATACATAGCATAAAGGATGTGCTAAGAAGAGGTCTTTTCAAATTTGTTGTCTGATGAAAATTGAAGAAAAAAAGATACCTGAACCATATCCTTCGCTATTTATAAACTCTTCATGATATGTTATTACAAAACCTATTTATTTAAAGTTAAAGCAAATAAACATTATTATAAAGAAGTGTTGATCTCTTTATTATATTCAAAGTGCTTCGTATTCAGTGCTAATGATCGAAATGTTTAAGCCAATTGCGGGGATAAATACAATAGCACAAGAAACAATATTTAAAAAGAAACGACAGAAAACTATTGTTTATTTTGGCCAATCTCGACAGCTCTGGGCGCGAGTGCGACATTACTGAGACATCTGTAATATATATTCAACGTTTAATTTGTACATGCGTGTCTTCCCATTCAATCGGTACGGCAAACTGTCTAACTTGTTCAGCTTGCAAAACGGTATTTTTTTCTCCCAACTCCCTTCAAAACAAACCGGTAGCATAGAGTAGTGGTGAGTGGGTGAGGGTGCGAGGGGTAAGGGGTGAAGGGTTAAGGGTGAGGGACCAGTACTGTGGAAAAGACCACAAAGGCCATCTCAGGAGTACCGCTCACCGTACCACCGCCCAGCCTCGGCTCACCTCCACAGAATATAACTACCTAGTTAAACGTTTAAATGCGATTTAAGAAATCAACTTTTGAGATAAACGTCTTTATTTTCTTTCTTTTTACTTTGCTAACAATATTAACATTCATAAGTATCGTAAATATAAGATATTTCTAAAATATTGTTTATCAACATATAATTATATAAACAAAAATATCAACATCACTGAAATGTTGTCATAATATACTGATCTAAAATACATGTTGGCCTAAGCAACTTTTAAATACATTATCTGTAAACTTCTTCTGCGCATTTTTTTTCCGATTCACTTTAAGTTTTGGTGAATAAATTATTTGTTTTTTTCTTAAATATAAATAATGTTTTTGAATATCTGTGAATTATCTTCCAGATATCTTCAAGATACTTAATAATTTGTACGACTATCTGCCAAAACAGCAATAAATAGTTTACAATTCTTTGCATAGCAAATTAAAATATAGTACTTTTAGACATTTGATTTCCAGCATCAAATGCAATCTCATAAATTCTAAATCTTTAAATTTATTTCTTCAATATATTTTTGCCAAACTTAATTTCATGTTGTGGTCTAAGTGTTAGTATTGTTTGAAGTCTGCTGTTGTATTTTAGCTGAATAATTAATTAAGGTTCTGGTTGTGCTAAAGTCTTCACTCCCTTGTAGTGTAATTTGAATCCTGTTTTCTGTACGGAGCTGTCAGATTTAAATACTACAACTGCTACTCTTCCCCTGACTTGGATTTGGACCGAGTTGTTATGGAAACCACACAGGCGACAGCCGACCTGGTTACCTAGCTCATCGTACATGGCTACAAAGTCAGTTCTGAAACCAGAAAAGAAAATTCCTTGTAAATATTTTGAAGTTGAATAAAAACTGTTTTCTTAATCCTTTTAGAACATTGATAAAATAGGCATTGCAGCCATCTTTGTGGATAAGTCGTCAATGAAACATTTCAAATGATCCAATATGACGGCTGTGACGTCACAACAAAGTGATCCAAAATGGCGGCTGTAGTTCCACGAACGTTTTGGCACATAACATTGACAATAGCTAGTTTTATAAGGGTCTAAAAGACGTCCTCGAATGAAAAAATACGGCAGTATTATTTTTTGTGTATTCAAGTGCATATCTTACATAATGACTCAAAATAGTAAATGAAGACTACGTACCGACAATTGGCCTCTTGTTCAATATTCACGTGATTCAGAGTAAAATTCATGGCAGCGTAGTCCTGGGGAAGACTGATGGTCCATTTACAATGAGAATTTGCAGGATATGCACTTGGGAAATTCGGTGATTGGAATGTTCCAACAGGAGTTTTTAGAACACCTCCACATACTGGAAGACATTAATTCAAGGGGTAAGATTTTTGCAGTAAGTTGAAAAAATATCTCATAAGTTGTTAAAATAAAAGCACCAGTCACCTTCAATATTGTCTGTACCCATCAATGACGTAACATGCAATTAACGAATAAGAACTTACCAGTTGGTTTTGGAGTTGGCTTGGTTACTGAGCCAGTGCTTGTTTCCATGGTGACGCTCGTACCTTTGATAGGCGAAGACATTGTCATGGCAATACGACCTCTGGTTGTTTTAACTGTACCTGACAATCAAATACACAATAAAACTTAATACACATATTAATAAGACGTCGTGTGCCGAGCCACTCTCTCAAAAATGTTCTATTATTAGTAATATTTGCTTGCAGTTATATTCATATTTTGATCAGTCATCTTACCAGCTTCTTGCTTTTCACTATGGCACTTGATATTTTTCACCACGATAATGTGTCTGTCCAATCGACTCACAAAATCATTCTTAGTGACGTCACACTTGTAGATGACGTCACTTTCATCTCGTCCTGCTGGCAGAAACAAAGACCCGTTGCCATGGAGCTTGAATCCATCACCAACTGTTACATTAGAACCACTGGAAGCCACGAGTAACGACCAGGACACATCGTTTCCTGAGGTGTTCTTCTTGTGCCATTTGACTTGATGCAGTTTTCTTGGGTTGGTTCTGTGCCACGCGTCACAATCGAGGATCACATCTTCTTCCACACAGACTTCGCGTTTGAGCAGAGTGACTTTACCTATACAAGAAGAATCATATATGTTTTTAAAACATGTTAAAAAACATTTCGAAAAATTTGTCACTATAATATGATCTAGATCACAATGAGAAATAAAAGAAATTCCTTTACTCACCACAAGCAACACTCAACTTGACGACATGCAGTTTTCGTCCATCTTGTTTAACAATGCACATATATTTTGATGCGTCATCAGGATGAAGAGAGTGAATTTCCAATGATCCGTTGGGATGAATGGCTGATCTCCCATCTAATGCTGTGTTGGCGGAGTTTAACTTTGTTTGACCATTCCTAATGATGGCTACTTTTGACCATGCGCCGGTGGTTTTGTCCTTAAACCGCCATATTAAAGTGCCTGGTTTGTTCTGTGTATAATGAGGGCAGGCCAGGATGACGTCGGTGTTGTAGCATCCATTTTGATTATGACTCGTTGCACTCAGGGAACTTGACACTAAAATTACGAGAATTATAATCCAATTCATTAAGTGAACAAAATATTGAACCAATTCTAAGCATCGATGCTTGAGACTCGTTTACTAAAGGAAATATTCCAAAAGGAGGAAGTAAGAAGAAGTGGACGTAAGCGTCAATCGGAAGTGGAAGTAAATCACACCCTAGATTAAGATGTTAAATGTGACGTGACAGATCGAACATGCAGCAGTTTTTTTTTTCCTTAATTATGCAAGAACGTCCAGCACAATTTCTTGACGAAGCTAATTTTGAGGGATTATTTTAAGTTTTAGGCTGAAAATGTGAAGCCTTTTTTAAGTGATTAAGTTTACAATCAATGCTTTTCAACTTAAGGGAGATTGCTAAGTCATGCTTTGTTTGTAGGTGGTTTTTGTTGTTGTTTACTCTATTGAATTTCCCTTGTCGTAATCCTTATTGATTAACTAACAATCCTTTCAAACTTCTTTGTTTGTAAAAAGAGTTTGCAAATGACAATAAAAGGCTGACACGGAATTGAAACAGTAATGATAAAAAGGTGGATTTTACACCGTGAAAAGATGAAAAAACTTACTGACGTATCGGACGCTAGTCCTTCGTCGGGGTAAAAGAGTTGAACGGAGTTGAAAGTTTGGACAAACAACTTCTAAGAGCATACTTAACAAGTTATTAAAACTAGCCATACCTGTGATAGCGAGCAGGAGTGCAATCAAGTGTAGAAGGCTAATACGATGCATGCTCTTAATAAAATATAACTACAGTAAAAGTTTTAAGAAGTTGAATGATAGTCAAGTAGCGGTCTTGTTTCTTCTTTAAGATCTTCGCAGGTTTCTTGGAAGGATATAAGTATTTGTTAGATGTAGGTTCAGCACTAGAGTAAATCTACCGTGGCCTTGGTTTAAAAGTCAGTTCTCAACTGGTGTTTGTCAAGGTCACTGAGCGTTCTTATATAGATGAACCTAACGATACGGCTAAAAATACCGCTAGTGTAATGTAGCTAGTGTAACGCAAGGTTAACCCCCGCTAGAGCCGACCATCGATTGATGATTAAGCTGCACGTCCGTTTTCTTTTAACTGCAAGACAACTAACACGGATATTATATCTACGGGGTGTGTCTATGGATAAGGCTGAAACGTGAGAGTGCCGAGTAATTTACGTGAAATTTAACTTAAATTCTTATTCATTTTTACCAATTTGTTCGCGTGAGTTTTGGCCTTTAATTTAAAAAAAAATTTATTGTGCATATAAAATCTTACAACATCGCACTAGAAAAACTACACAAGATTTTTTTTTCTTTTTTACTTTGAAAATAATGTTATAAACGTTACAAACTCAATTTGTCAATTGATTCTTTTTTTCGATGGCGTTTTCTTTCTCTCTTTCTTTTTTTCTCTCACGTTTTTATGATTATATATAGTATAACTATAAATAAATCCCTAAAATACCTTTCGTTTCACTTTCTAAATTTCATTCCTTCCTTTTTTCCCTAATTATGTAATTAGCGCTACTTTTGTAAAGTACTTTGATTCAACTCTGATGATGAAACGCAGCAACGACTTCCACTTGTAATGGAGACCATCATCTCAAACCCTACACTCTTAGGAAATCTTTTCTGAGTCTTTCCTTCCATCATGGTACTGTTAGTCCATACATCCTTGCCAACTTTACCATATTTGGATCAGCCTTCACTTGCTGGAAATTTTTGGGACATTTTGCTCGTTTCTTAGCGGATATAAGCGAGAGACTTCCTACCCACTAGCATGATTACTAAGTCTGTGTCAGTGTTGAAACTACTGAAGCATTTTAGTTGTGGTTTCTTGGGTCAATACAGTGTCAGCTGGTCCCCAGTGACTTGATGTGGTTCTTTGTTTTAAATCATGCAGATATTCTCGTTGCCGGGGAACTGGTTTCATTAATTATGATATGGTTCAATGACATATGTTTTTGCCATTGTTTAGTGATATCTATCGCCGTTTAAAAATGGAGGGGGGAGGAGGCGGGAGCTTGGCCAACAAAAGTTGAAAACATAGAAGCTCATTAAAAACATTTTCTTTTTGGCTGGTAAAATTCAAATAGAGAAAAAGAAAGAGTCCAGGACAAGAAAATGRCAGTTTTTACTTTACTTGAACTCACTCTGCTCCTCATCCCTTCGTCCCCCCCCTAAAAATCCGTGAAGTTCCTACGATTTCTCATGGTGTTCAAGTCATCATAGTTTCAAGTTACTTCAGACTTTTGACACACATACTGAGCCAGTTTATCACTATTTTCTCATTTCGTAAGCACATTATAATGCCCTAAATCTGAACAGATAACTTGATATCCTAGCTAAGTGTTTATATATCATGCTCATATAATGTGACCCCGAATGCGGCGGAACTATTGACGTCATTTCCGGATTACAAATCCACTGGAATGACTTCCCTGTTGAGACGTCATATTATGTAATTTTTCTTTTGGATCGTGTTGACCCAAAGCATAAGTAGAAAAGGAAAAGTATAGGAAATGATGATTGAGCGAAACTAGACCACAATACTCCGCAATATCGATTGGAAAAACCTCTGGTTTAATATATTAATATGCTCTCTTACTGAGAGCCTAGAGAGAGGTGAAGACGAAAACCAATACAGAGTAAACTGAGGCGTGAGATCGTTCCTGAGACAGAGGGCGTTCAGCCCTCGTGTGATCAACCACTATCAACTTTGGGAATCTGTTCTTATTGTTGAAAATCAGTTTTTATACAAGGCGAGGAATATTCTAGTAAACCACACCATTTGGCAGCCAACAAACAAAGTCATTTTTATAAAAAATAGTTCTATTTTATACTTTCAATCTCGTATTTATATAATACATAAATATACAAAAAATCTGTACCCGCCAGTTCAGTATCACACCAAGCGCAATAAATAACACAATGCAGATCATAATTATAATTGCTACATACATATATAATAGTTCTATATATTCATATCTGGAAGAAATATACATTAAGTAAATATTCATAAATAAATCGACACGGATATTTTTAATTTAAACCATTTTTACATTAACGACTTTTAAAACTCCAGTGTATGCAGGCTTAGCCTCGAATCCAGAAGTTCCTCAGAAGACCTCAGAAGGCTTAGCCCGCATATACTGGAGTTTTAAGAGTCGTCAATATTCAGAGACAGGGTCAATGTCCTATGATTATATTATCAATATCTTCAATGTCCTATGTTCCTACATCACAGTCATTGAGCCGTTCCTTGTCAGTGTTTGTTGGTTGTGTTAATCCTGAGTCGCATCCTCACCAACAAAGAGTTTCATGGTCAAGGAATATTTCTTTCCCATGTTACAAGAAGGGCCATCATCCCACACGGGGAAGAGTCTTGCCCGACTTCATACTGATTCAGTCTTCAGCAACTTGGTCATAACTTTACCCTAAGATTCATCAGCAGCCAAACCATTATGATGACAGACACCAAGAATATATTATTAGTACCATGCACAGGACTGACAGCAGAGAAAACCGAAGGAGAGATTGTCTCCATGGTGACAGTAATGGGTGTCGTCATAGCAACACGACCAGCGGTTGTTTTTACATGAGAACCTAAAAATAGAGGGGATCGTTAGTCATCGTTTTTCAAATGTTTTCACGTCTGTTTTACCAAACTCCTGTCACCGAATAATATCAGAAAGGATTCCTCAGTTGCAGCCTTACCTGCGGTAGTTTCACGCTTTTCTCTTCGACATTCAACACTTTTCACGACAATAATGTGTCTGTCCAATCGACTTGGAACATTCTTAGTGACGTCACACTTGTAAGTGACAACTTCCTCGGCCCTTCCTCCGTGCAGCTGTAAAGACCCGTTGCCATGGAGCTTGAATCCATCACCAACTGTTACATTAGAACCACTGGAAGCCACGAGTAACGACCAGGACACATCGTTCCCTGAGGTGTTCTTCTTGTGCCATTTGACTTGATGCAGCTTTCTCGGGTTTGTTCTGTGCCTTGCGTCACATTCGAGCATGAAATCATCGTCTGCACAGACTTCACGTTTGATCAAAGTGACTTTACCTAAAATGAGGCAGTGAGAATAGAATATATCAGTGTTGTACGAATGTACAATATACTATTCTAACACATCGTTATTTTATAGACTACTCTAGGGCTCACTCCACCCA